ACCTCTGCGATCACTGTTAATACACCAACTCTGCAATCGTGGGTCTGGTTTCTTCTCGCAACAATATTCTGCGCTGTGTTTTTTTATACTACATGAGGCATATAAAAGTAATTCTAGGACCTGTAGCGTTTATTACGCTGTGCTCAAAATGCGAAGCTAGGCACCAAAAGACAAGTTTCATATTCTTTGCTGAGACGATGCGGTGCTGCACCTACCTTTATATCTACAAAATATGGCCTCCAAGATTGTGCGCGCACGCTGAGATCACCGCAGGATGGCACTCACGTCTCAGGCAGTGCCTTCAGAATCCCATTCACAGATTTTCTTGCGCTAAATATCGAATAAATGTTTCATTCAATTCATTCACGCCAGATGGAAGATTCGACAACATTTGCAGTCGAACATGCATATAGGCCAATTTTCTAAATGCGAATGCATCTTTTAGTCGGTCTGTGTCAGGCATCCGGCATTGTCTGCAGCGCCACTCTCACTTTCCGCTCTCGCTCCCTCTCCCACAGCAACACCTGCTGGCGCACGTGCTTATGCTCGCCCCAAGCAACCAGAGCATGTGGTGCGAGAGAGTGTAGCAGAGGGTAGGTGCAGTGCTTCGCCACTCGTTCTCTCGACGTTCGCTTTCTCTACTCCCTTCGCTCCACTTCACTTTCCCGTCCACTCACGCCTACCTCTCGATAGTTCGCTGGCTGGGCATCTCTCAAAAACATCCGGATATGTGTGGTCGAGACGCCGCTTTGAAACGCCAACGCTGAGTCGAAAACGTTGTTTGTTTTATTCTCTTCATAGCATTACGCTAGCTACTAAAGCTGGAAACATATACCGCGTTTCTCGCGATGAAAAACGCCACGTGTGGCGAGCGGCGCTATTGGCTGCACGGTGTAAGAAAAAAAGAAACCATTGTTTTTCTAACGCTGGGTTCTCACGTGCGAAAGGATGTTATAGGTGGTACGCAATGCATTCGCATTTCCTAAAGATTACTTTCGGGGATATGGGGGGCATTTTTTCTCTTTTCTTTTCCTCGCTTCAGTTAAAGTAAGAGGGCGTCGAATAGCAACCGTGCCGACAAGGTACAGCACTGATGATCACGGCCAAGTTCGGGCTGTGCCAATGGGCGGAAATAAAAAAAATCTGATTTTTTGTGACCAAACGGGAGGTGCGCATATTATTCGAGTAAATACGGTAGTTGTCAGGCGTTGTAATGGATGTGAGATTTAAAACCGAAACATTACGATGTTCTAAAGTTAACACAGTTTGTTTTCCTAGTCATCATTAGTAAGTGAGAGGGCCTTTAATATGAGCGTGACTTCACAAATACGTCGTTAACTTCCACTAGTGCAACAAATCTCACGGCATTTTCAAGGATTACAAAGAGTTAACGAGTATTCAAAGTGTTTCAAGAGTCCTTGACCTTATATTGTCAATACCAGAGATATTCAAGGATTTCAAGGGGCGGTGCGAACCCCGTCTTGAGGAAACAGGCGCAGCAGCGTCTGTGCCTTTTGTAGTGGGTTACCGACTTTACACCTCGAAGTCATCATGATAACCACATCTTCTTACGTCCAATTGCAATTGGCACTTGTACCATGCATTATTACTGCCATGTTTTATGTTGTATTGTGAGGATACCTGGAATTACGAAGAAGTCGCTCATTTCTTCTGTTGGCCTCAGACAACTGACCCTATATCACATTTATACAACGTACAGTGATTTTCTGCACGTGTACACCGACGGATCCACCACGCTAAACACCTCCGCCGCAGCCTTTGTCATCCAAGACATGGATATCGCTCGACGATTCAAAGTGGACCATAAAACCACATCAACTGCCGCAGAGCTTGTCGCTATCCGGGAGGCAATAAGATTTATTTCCGGAGAGCGACCTCGAGCCTGGACGATTTTCTGTGATGCCAAACCCGCTTTGCAAACCATTAATTGCATCATGAAGCAAGGTCCGTATTACAGCTTGGCAATAGAAATCACATAACTTATTCAGGTTACTTCAACAAATGGCCATCTTATCACTTTCCAGTGGATTCCCGCTCATTGAGGCGTGATGGGAAATGAAGAGGCAAACGCTGAAGCTAAAAATGCCTTAAGCAGTACCCCTGAAGTACGCATTGCGTTTTCATGAGCTGACACGAACGCCCTGCTTCGCTGCGTGATGCGCAGCTACACACTTCAGCACTCGACCAAACCGGAACGGCGACACCAGTGACTTCACAAAAGGGACCCGGAAATGAGGTTCCGCATGCCCCCTAAATTGAAACCGAAACTTACAAGTATGATCCACCGTATTCGTCTTGGTGTGGCGTACACCAGACGTTATGCACATATCATCGGTCGCAGTGACACTGGTCCTAATTGTGAACACTGTGATGTGCCAGAAACACTTCAGCACATATTTTGTGTCTGCCCAGCATACGCACGTGAACGACAAACACTGATTTCTTCTACTGAACTATATCGCAGTAGGTCATTAACTGATGAGACCGTGTTGGGCCCTTGGCCAGACACCAACAGTGCAACTGTGGTCACCAGAGCAGTTAAAAACCTTTTTGGAAACAACTGGACTATATGCGCGGCTATAAAAATGTGTCTCAGCTAGAAAGAAAACTACATACTCACCTCTCTATCTCACCATCATGATCCATTATTCTTTCTTTTCTCCTTTCCCTTCCCCCAGTGTAGAGTAGCAGGCTAGAGCAAGCTATCGCTCAGGCCGACCTCCCTGCCTTTCTGTAAATAAACTTTTCTCTCTCTCTCTGAAGCATCTATACCAGACGCGTGTGTTTCTAAAGCATGTGTCACTTTCAGTGCATTTCTAAGCAGAGGAAGCTATTTTCAATGTACTCACAAACGGACGCGTGGCCATGTGGTAGAACAACCGCTTGTAATGCTAACAACATGGGTTCGACCACCAATTTTACCCAGCATTTTTAGTATTTATTTTCATCATTCTCCATGTTTGGGTCACTCATAAGATGATTATTTTTAGCTCACAACCAACGACACGGACACCGTCGTCAGAATTTCTGCGAAACGAGCTTTTTAATGCTATTTTATTAAAAAGATGCAGCTTTACCTGGAAATAAAATATTAACAGGGGTAGTAAATTGTCAGACTTTCTGGCAATAAGGCTCATAATTTGATAGGCATGTAGAAACATTGCGGCATAATCACCTGCTATCTGTGACCTGCAATCGCGGAACATCTCCTATCGTGTGACACCTGCAGATTCACCTCCTGGTGCCAGAGGCTCAAATAAAAAGTGACCGCCATTCCCTAGATAGCTGCGAGGACTCGCGGTCACAAACGGGCCGCCATGAGAAGCGGCGACAGCGGAGTCTCGAAGCAAACGTTCCATTCTGGCACACCCTTCACTATTGCAATATTATGGTGCCTCTAAAGCTCAACGGGCCACGTCAATTTCCAGCATGGGGCACTAGAACATGCTGCCCACCACAACATGACGTTCTTGATTCGCCCTTACAATTGATCTCCGGCACTCCCGGCAAATACCATAGCGAAAACCTCCCCCTCTTCTTTTACCCTGCGTTGCCAGAGGGTAAGAGGGTTGGAGGGATCATTTTCCACCACACTAAGCCATGTCCCATATATCACTTTTTTTTTTATTTTTGAAAGTGCACATACGGCCATACCCAGATGTGCCGTATGAATATGTTTGCTACAAAAATACCTTATGTGTCCGTAAAATTATCATCGCTACCAGAAAAAGAAATACGTGAAAGAGTAAAATATGGGGGGGGGGGGCAGTGTACGGTACGATGTCTGTGCACGTTAAAAAACACCAGACAACCCGAATTTCAGGAGCCCTCGATTTCGACATGCCTCATAATCATGTTAAGGTTGTTCTGCGTAAAAGCCCAGATATTATTATATGTATCGATTCAAAGATGGTCTTGTGCTTCTGCTAAAAAGCCTAACTCTCAAGCTCTACATACATTTCGGGACTGGGGCAGTATATTTTTCAAGAGTGTTGCTTGGTGGTTAAGTTAGCACGTTCTTAAAATCAAACAAAGCCCCTCCAACGTCGAAAAAGGGAAAAAAAAAGATAACCTGAGAGCCATTAGCAATTTGATAGTGGCCACCTCTGTGTCACTGTCTCTGCTTCTACCTCTCAGTTTTTCTTTTTTTCCCGACATTTGAGTGGCTTTCCTCGAGTTCAGTATATTCTTACTAACAACCTTCAATTTAATGATTTCTTATCAGGCCCCTCTGACAACGGGAGCACGTTATCCTCATCGCGATTATATGGCATGAGAAAACAGAGAAAAAAAGATGTATCATTATTCCAAAACATGGCTCCTACACCCAAAATAATGGCAATACGATGGAAAAATCAAAAACTTTCTCAAGAAGACAGCAAGCCCAACGTTTAGATTATCATTCTAAGACACTGAATTTTTTCATATCTACACACAATAAAGCTTTGCGCGTTTCATTTTTCATGCACATCTTAAATTTTTCGAAACTGCAGCAGGAACTGTTAAAGTTTGACGGCAGTGGCAGAAATTCCATTCGGAGACTTGCTTTATTTGTTATGTGTACACGCTTAACTTCTGATATGGTGCATATACTATAAGACTGGTCGCTTTTCGAGCGCTCTTGCCATGCAGCTTACATTGGGCTGGTCGTAATGGAGCCCTCAAAACACAGTATATTATACCATCATGTATTTGTCCTTCAAGCTTCATGAGTTAGAAGCATGGATAATCCCCACCAGTGCAACGAATGTTTAATGCAAACTTTGTAGCGCCAGCTGATATGTTCTTTGTTGCCTTTTCTTTCACTCTCCCTCCTTGCGCCTTTTTTACCGGTGTCGGTGGCCTTTGGGCAGCAGCATACGCCACCGCAAAAGGTATACATTGCGGTGACTGACTCGATACCGGCGTACACTCTGGGCTATCGACTTGTGCAGTTCGTAGCGATTACAGCATGCATGAACGATACGTCGCGGTGGACTTCAGGCGAACGGGAGCGCTATGCGCAGCTTGGCTGTCCGGTGCCTCCACTTGAGCAGAGCCAGGGCCCCCCAGCACACGGCCAGCACGACATCCATGATGGCCAGGCCAATCATTAGCATGAAGTAGCTGCCCAGCGTGTCCCGAACGTAGCCTGCGAAAGAGGAGGCATGACACTCTTAGGGGAAGGTGTACATCCGAGTCATGGTGAGTGTTGTGAAGTGTATAAAAGCACTAGGTGTTTACGTTAGTCAAGATAAGAGGCTATACGACACATTCGAAGGATTTCATACTATCTTTTCTTGTATTATGGATTCACGGTTTGAATGGGCAACTAATGACGTAGCGCATAAATAGGTTGGAAGTTAGAGCTCTTCTTGGTCCCTTATTTTGTCCTGTGTCACAGATTTTACACGATATGTTACCAACGCGCCTAGCTGCATATTCTCGAATAGGCACCCAGAGTGCCTGGAGTGCATGGCCTTGCGCGCGGGTTCAATTGCAGGCTACTGCTGCCGCATTTTGACGGAGGTGGAATGCGAAACACCCGTGCTCTTGATTCGATATGTGCACGGCATAAGGAACCCCAGGTTGTCCGAGAAGTTACTGCATGGTCTTTTTCACCCGTAACCCTGCTAGGGGCAATATTGCTAATATTGCCATCGTCGTTTGTTATCTCCACTTTTGTTCATTCAATTTTCGCCCACAGTGCCTGTCATGTAGGAGTGCTCAGTGCAAACTTCCCCTCGCTTTTTCTAGAAGACTCGCGATTATTGTAGACCATTCTGTTAAGATTGCGCGCAAGACGCGAACACTCAATATTATTCCAGAGCTGGCGCGACACCCAGTGATAAGATTAGAATATTTGACGGCATTCTGTATAAATGATGATGAAGATGACGACGACGATGATGATGACGACGACGACGATGATGATGATGATGATGATGATATTTGGGGTTTAAGGTCCCAAAACCACCCCATGATTATGAGAGACGCCGTAGTGGAAGACACCGGGAATTTCGATTACCAATGGCTCTTTAACGTGCACCCAAGTCTGAGCACACGGGTATACAGCCAGCATTTTCGCCTCAATCGAAAATGCAGCCACTGCAGTCCCGATTCAATCCCCCTACCTGCGGGACAGCAGCCGAGCTCGTTAGCCACTAGATCACCGCGGCGGGGCGGCATCTGTATAAATGCCGACGCGCTTCACTGCTTGTCCGTTGATCGCCAGCCGAACCTCTGTTCACCACTATCAGTGCCCGTGAGTTGCTGTAATCTGACATTCAGTTTCCTAGCCACAATTTCTGCCGAATAAACAGTTTTCATCTGAATGTCGAGTGTGCTCTCTCTGTCCACGTCATGGCCCAGTGACAATATGAACATGCACGCGAGCCCCGCCACTGTGGTCTAGTGGCTAAGGTACTCGGTTGCTGACCCGCAGGTCGCGAGATCATATCGCGGCTGCGGTGGCTGAATTTTCGATGGAGGCGGAAATGTTGTACGCCCGTTTGCTCAGATTTTGGTGCACGTTCTGAAACCCTAGGTGGTCGAAGTTTCCGGAGCCCTCCACAACGGGGTTTCTCATAATCATATGGTGGTTTTCGCACGTTAAACCCCACATATCATCAACATGCACGCGAAATCCACGCGCCAAAGATGTACAGTGAGCTTAGCGAAAACAAGGAGAGGTTGTGGAAGTATTAGCGTGTGGTTTATGGGAGGTTACACCTTAGCCGGCAATCATTGGCACAAGAATGATGACCTGGTTCTGGCTTTTTGTAAGACACGTGCTACAAGTGCGCTGAGCATGTGCAGATAGTCCGTGTCTTTTCTGGTATTGCTCCAACCTAAAGGTGCAGCTTTCCGGTGAAAAAGAAGCTAATTCAATCGATTGATTGATTGATTGATTGATTGATTGATTGATTGGGCGTGGGCATTGAGGTTGAATGACGTACACAAATTAAATGTTATTTCTGCTAGCCGAGTTCGGAAGTTCTTTTATGGAAGCTCAATTTTCTAGCATTGTACTGCTTGTGGGTCCAGCAGTGGCATGGTATTTGGTTGCGGCAGTTACGTCTTCTTTTTGCAGATCGCCACTTTTTTGGATGATAGTTATCTCGTCGGAGATGATGGACCTGCCTGGCACCTGCGCAGTTCATCGCCTGATCCTCATTGCTCTTTACGCATACCCTTGGACGTGTGTACTATCATGAGCAATATGAGCTCGAACACGCGAGCGCTTGGCAAATAGCCTCGAACCCTACATCGACTGATTTGTAGCATTTGTTTTCAGAAACAACGTGGAAAGGACGGCACACTTCCCTTGTTGTTGACACTCCCACCTCGATATTGTTGCTGGAAAATGCAGCTTATAGCATGTCTGTGGCCGCTGGCTGTGACATGACCTGACATAAACGCGTACAGCCACAACCGATCCAGGTATTCAGCTACAAAGATATGAACTGTGACATATAGCATGCCGTGATGCACAGGCCACGCTTCTATTGCATCTAGGTGGTGTTCGCTGAACATTTTGATGCGCGTCTTTCACTTTTGTTTTTGATGCATTTTCTTTTAGTGTTATAACTGCTAGCGACCGATGGCACGCGATCAGCTTCCGTTTCACAGCAACAATCATGCGGCAGTGCCAACCGTCAGTGGAAAAGCGCTCTCGTCTCACGCTACTGTTTAGGCAGCGCCATCCACGTGTCGCGTTATCTCGGTTTTGAAGCCATTTGTGACGCGCTCGCGTGTTCGAGCTCATATTGCTCACGATAGTACATCGCTTCTATTCTTCAAGCGCCCGTCTGCATTACGCCGCGGCCTTCCACTCTCGTCAAGTTGGTGCTCCTGCGCCCTTCCTGGCTCAACCGGAACCTCGACTTCCCTGCCACAATTTTAAAAGACCCTGTACTAGTGCTCTGCTCTTCAGTGGATCCGTCAGCGGCTTTGCATTTCGTTGCTGCAGTTACGTCTTCTTCGTTTGCAAGTAGGCTATGCTTATGAGCACAAATGTTATAGAAGTAATGATCACCTCGTTATATTGCTCCCAGCCTTGACTTCTCCTTTTTTTGATGGCATGTTCATTACACTCTTTGAGAAAGCTGGTGTTTCTGGCCGGTGTCATTGAGTTGAACCCTGGGCCGACCACCGAAAAAAAATGTTTACTGAACTGGAGCCGGACAGGCTAGCATTGGTGCAGACATAGCTGCCTTATCTGCTAAGGTTTCGTCATTGGACGACCGCTTGACGAAACTACTCTCTTGCCATCAGCGGCAAAAACACAGCAGACCATATTTAACCTAAATAGCACAATAAAGAAAGTCGATATTAAAAAATGATGACCTGGAGAACAGGTCAAGAAGGAATAACTTGGTCATCCATGGCCTGCTTCAACCACCACATGGAACTCCCGGACACACTGCTTGCCTCTGTCACTAGCCTAGTGTTAGACTAACTGGGTGTGGACTGCGACGCTATAGAGCACTGCCATAGACTTAGCGCTCAAAGACAGAACAAAGAACATCCGAACATAATAAAATTACTTGTTTGCAAGTATAAACTACAAGTAATGAGATTCTCGAAAGCTCAAAAGAACTGACATATTCATAAATAAGAATTTCTCGGCTCACGTCTGCCTCTTGCGCAGAAATCAATGGCGAAATTCGACTGGCTTAAGAAGCTGAGTGAAATAAGCTCACCAATGTTTTGATACCGTGGTTATTGGTCCCTTTCGCTACAACTAGGTTCACTTGAACTAATGTATGCTGAAGGCCTCCGGATCGCAAGGTTCTGTCTGACTGACTCTTGATAAGCAGCTCCCCGTCTTGAATGTTAATGCAAAAAGTTTGGTTAATAAGGTCGTAGACTTCAACTGTCTCGTCGAATCGCACAACCATTAGACCCCCTACTAGCCTATGGCTATGGGTCTAATCAGTGTTCTGCACTTCATGAAATGTAATCAAAAGAACCTCAATAAAATCTCACCATTGTCATCCATTATTTTTTCTTTTCCTCTTTCCCTTCCCCCAGTGTAGAGTAGGAGGCTAGAGCAAGCTATCGCTCACGCCAACCTCTGTGCCTTCTGTAAATAAATTATCTCTCTCTCTCTCTCTCTCTCCTTGCAAATCCTTGAAGTCCTTGAACCCGACTAAGATCTACGTGAGCGAAAGCTGGTTTCACAGCGCAGTATTAGACAATGCATTTTCGCCTAAAAATTACAGGGTATAAGTAACTTAAAAAGTAAAATTACAGGGTACAGGCCAATTTCATTGCTATCTGCCACATGTAAATTACTGAAACACATTTAGATAAACACATTTCTGAGTAATTCACTGAGAATAATGTGATCTCATCCTGCCAGCACAATTTTCCATCGGGCTACTCGACAATCAAGCAACTCGTCAAGTTCTCGCATGGCATTGATTCGGTACTCATTCAAAGTCAATCAAGGTCAGCTGAATGCTATATAACTGTTGATTATGCCAAAGCTTTTGACCCGGGCTGTCGCAGAAAACTTCATCTGAAGCGTCGTGAGGTAAAAATTACACACTAATTTCTTGAACCGCTGATTACCTGCTTCGTAGATATATCAGTAAGTTTATTTCAACAAAGCAAAGTCCAACACCGTCTCGATGTCAAATCCAGCGTCACCCAAGGGTCTGTATTGAGACCACTTTTATTTTCCATCTATATTAATGGCGTCATGAAGGTCATTCAAAATACGCCAGTTAAACTTCGCACCTATGCAGATGACGGAATTCCTTATTCTGCCATTTCCACGAGTGCTCAACAGTTGTTAAAATGAGTTCTTTTTTTTTATGTTGTGTACCTAGAGTGACTCCTGAAAACTGTCTACTAACCTAACGATGATAGTCTATATGACCTTCTTCAATAAGGTTGAGCTGCTACGCTTTCAATACGGTTACAGTGAAAGTACCATTACACACCCAGATAAGTTTAAATACCTTAGGATGGCTTTCACACATAAACTGAAATGACAGAATCAGTAGACCACATTCACTCGAATGACCTTAGCAAATTATTCTACATAAATTTTACATTGATGAATGCTACTAAGGCCTGCAAATTAGCTGCATATAAAACCCTAATAAGGCCAATCTTGGAGTATGCGTCGGTTGTCTGATCCCCATACTTCTCTTGTGACGTAGCCAAGTCAGAATCTTTGCAAAGCAAAGTCATAAGGTTCATCTACAGCAGATACGATCGCCACTTCTCTCCTTCATCGCACGCACATATTTTTTGCTTGTAACACTAGCACACCCGCGCACGTGCGAACGACTTTTCGCTCTACACAAGATTGTACATGAATCATCGGTAATCACCCTGCCAGTCTCATTTCTGAAACGTCCTACTCGTGCTACAAGCCCCGCCGCGGTGTTCTAGTGGCTAAGGTACTGGGGTGCTGACCCGCAGGTCGCGGGATCAAATCCCATCTGCGGCGGCTGGATTTCCGATGGTGGGGAAAATGCTGTAGGCCCGTGTGCTTAGATTTGGGTGCGCGTTAAAAAACCCCAGGTGGTCGAAGTTTTCGGAGCAAGTGGTGCAATAAAAACGAAGCAAGTGGTGCTTCATGCAAACCGATGGGCAATGAGAATAGTATGAATATACTTGTTGTAGGACTGTAAATGAAAGCCGTGTCGTAGTCCGTTTCTGTGCATGGATCAGTGGCTAGGATGCTCGGCTGCGGAATTGAAGGTCACGAATTTTATTCCGGTCGCGGCGGTCTCGTAGGGGTCTGTGTACTTTGTGATGTCAGTGCACATTAAAGAACACCGGATGGTCTAAATTTCCGGAGCCCTGCTCTACGGCGTCTCTCATAATCATATCGTTGTTTTGGGACGTGAAACCCCAGATAACATTAATAAAGTCCCATCGTAAAATAAGGAATACTGTTGTCGCCCACGTGTCGGAGCCAACGATGACGCTTTTACCATGCCTGACTCTGCTATCTTGAACCCGGCCTATGCAAAAATAATGAAGAAGCTGCGCACGTCCGCGGTTGCATGCAGCTGCGTGCACGAACGGGTTGCCTTCCTGCACGTAAAGTTTGGTTTAAAATCGTACAAAAATACAACCTCGCCGGGTTGGCCAGAGTACGCTGCTATCGCAGGAGGGCGGAGAGCTGTGGGCTATAGCTTGTTCGGATTTGGGAATTAAATCAAACAAACGGGCACACAAGGCTTTAAGACAAGTGGTACTGTTGTCTATAAGCCTTGCGTGCTTGGCCGACACGCAAACAAAGGCCCGAAAAGAAACGAGTAGAAAGGTTACATAACAGGCCGTCACCGTCCGTAGTTTTTTTTTTCTTTTGCCTTCTTTTTCTTTTTCCTCCTTATTGCTGCTGAGTAATGCACGGTGCTCAGTTCTATAGGCTCCAAACCAGAACTTGCTTGTGACGGGCACTGTTTTGGAAGAGCTGAGTCATATGCATACTGTAAAGCGGCGGAGTTTTTTTTCTTTGCTTGGTTTTTTCGTCCGGGCACAGTGAGAGCAGGAGGATGTCCCCATTATGTCATAACAAGGAGAGTGCCTTGAAATTTTGTTTGTAAACACCAGTAGGCCAGATCTAGTCTGTGTTAGTTAAATTAATACATATAGCATTCGATGTTTGGTTAGTTAGAGAACAGCCTTACATGTTGAGGTATGATTATTAGGGCTGGCGCAAAGTTCTATACAAGCGATATGAAGGTGGTATACACGTTTTTGTTTGAAGCAGAAAGGCAGCTGTGGCTTCAGTCGAGCTTTGAGTCCCGTATTCAAGGTAAACAAGGGAACCGACGCATGAAAACGCAATCTCACAAGCAGGTTGCGCGAACCGGGATAACTGGGCAGTACGACGCACTAATTCCTGAGTAAACAACCTGCATGTAACATCGCTTCTTCATTTAGGGACGGTACTAGTGTGAAGGCAAAGTACGGCCATGTTATGTTCCCAGAAAATTGGTATTGTCGAAAGAAAACGCCCTCGAATAACAAGGTTAATACGTGCTTTTCATAGTTACTTGCTTTGAGAAGTCAGCAATTGCAGGGCAGTACACATTTTAACCGAAACACTGGCAAGTTATCGCAGCTACGCGACACGTACTTCGATAAAATTCCCGTAGTATATACCTTTAGAGAAGCACAAATGGGTTTTATGCATTAGGAATATTAATAGCTTTGTTATGGGCCTATGTATTATATTAGCCTACTAACTGAAGATGTATACATGGCGTAGCACATAATTCTCAAATCAATCGTATTCAAACAAACTGCACATTATATCTATTGCACGCAAAACTATCAAGAGGAAACATATTCCGCGCAAAACTGCAATAAGGAAAACCATGGCGTTCCCATTGTGGACGCTGTCGAGTTTATAAGCTTTTTGGGTGCACGTTAAAGAACCCCAGACGGTCGAAATTTCCGGAGCCCTCCACTACGGCGTCTCTCATAATTATATGGTGGTTTTGGAATGTTAAACCCCACATATCAATAAATCGGTTTATAAGCTTACTGTTCAGAACACCCGAAGATATCGTGCTTTAACCTGCCCCCAAACATCAGTATGCACAATTATTTTTGCATCACGCCTGCGTATGAATGCGGAACGGCGTGCGAAAGTCCAATCCACGACCTCATGACCTCATGCTAAGCAACATAACGTCAAATCCTCAGAGAATCACAGCCCCTGGGGGCACAGTTGACGGTAAAATATCGAGCACTGCAAGGCTGAAAGGGAAATATCGAGCCGTCTCGAGTTCGCACTGATACCTGTGGGCGCGTAAGACATGAGACACCGTTCGAACAATTGGGCATGGTTTTAGGTTTCTGGGGCTATGCTTCCCTCGGGAATAGTTTCAATACACCATGCGGATCGCACAGGTGTAAGACTTTTTCTGCGTGGCTTTTTTATATTTTCCATTTATCTAGATGTTAAGCGTAAATGTTGCATTACCCCCGTATTGGGGACTCATTGACGCTTTGAGCACAGACAATACCAAAGGACAAACCGAATACGTTACGAGCACCACAAGAGCATTACAACTGTGAATGCCTTGGATAGCCTACTCCCAGGTGCCCATTTTGTTCGCGGCAAAGCTGCAGCATCATTGTGTTTTTACTTTGCAAGAAAAAGACATAAAGGTTGCAGTCCACGTTGAAGTGGACAGTGTACATGTAACAGCAGCGGAAAGTTACCCAGGACACCATGGCCTATAGCCAAAAGGCGCTGTTTGGCACCGAGGTTTCATTTTTAATGTTTGCAGCTTACCTAACGGCGTCGTTCACTCATTGTTGATGCCTATAGAGTGACGTAATCATCATTTTCTTCTTCTGTTTAACAATGACTTTATGTGTTTCATTATGAGCACCATGAAGCTAACTTCGCTTACATGAGTCTATTCGTGCGTGGCAGCAAAAAATGTTTAGTACACAGCACGAGAACATAAAGTGTGCAAATGAGTACTATAATGTAGCTGCGCGCATCGTTTAGCCCTACCTTATAGCGGGGAGGGGTAATAAAGTCGTATGAACTTCCATAATTAATTTTGTGGGTAGCAAACTGAATGGGCTCGGGAAGTTTTGCTAATTTGGGCCACACTAAAAAACTAAAATGAAAGACGACACCGGTGGCTCAGACCATGGCGTCACGTAAATAAGTGCGAAGTCACCCAATTATAATTCTAGGTAGCAGTGTGTTATATGGTTATATGCGTATATATTTATATGGCACGCTATGCTTTATGTTGACGTTCTGTACTGTTTTGTCATTGTAAGAAGAGTGCACGTGAATGGTGCGACTACTTACCGATGATAGGCGCCCGTGCAAAGAATGGCAGTGTGCACGAAAGACTCATCAGCGCAAAGGCCAATGGAACCTGGCCTTTGGGAAAACGCTCAGGCACGAACAAGAAGAGCAGAAATCCTCGACTTCCCTGGCCCCAGCCGACTAGCACACTGCCGGCAACAAGCCACCCATAGTGTTCGCCTAGGAACGCCATAAAGACGAAGCCGACGCCCTGCACCACGAAACTGGTGAAGACCATGGTCTCCTTGCTGGTCAGCCCCGCGTCCACGGCCGGCGCTAGGGCCACGCTGGCTGCAGCCCAGCCAATGGACATGGCCGTCATCAACATGGCGGCCTGGTAGCCTCGAAAGCCGCAATCGTGCGCAAAGTCCACGATAGTTAGTGTGTACGTGAAGATGGCGAAGCAGCTGCACGCATTCGTACTGCAGACTATCACGAAGATGCTTTGCAGGAATGGCCGCACCTGCGTGGGACAAAGCAGAGAACGCGAAGCAATTGCATCATCTATTTTCTTTTTTTCTTTTAGAGTGCGGACTTCTTTGTAAGAACTTCTCGCAAGCTTAATGCTCGATGAGAGACGCCTTAAGCGTTTTTAGAAGGTGTGCAGCAACGCTGTCACATTTTAGTGGGTGGACGCTCCTCTGTGCATAACTGAGCTTTCTACAATTTCCTCATGTGACGCGTGTTTTAATAGCACCACGGACGTGCAAATATTGCAGTGTTATTGAAACTAAAAGCATACACAAAGAAGCAAAATGCTGCAAAGGACACGTCTTTAGCAAAACGGCTTGTGCGCACATTACTGAACCTTGTTCCGTGTTACAGCCCACTGGTGACATATAGCTGTGGCTGTGCTAATAGTACGCGAAAACATATTCAACGCTAACAGACTATAACATAAGAGAGACGACACCAGCATGCATAAACTTGAACAACTTTATTTCCTGGAAATATAAAGCTATGCGCAGTGGTGCCACATCTGTCAAATTTCTTGTCAACCAGATAAGCTAACTTCTTAGCTAGCATGTCGTTTGATGGGACTCTCGAAGGTCATCAAGAGGAGAGTTACCTATCTGTGTTATGGGGAACATTATGAAGAAATCCAGCCACATACAGTTAGATCTATAAAAGTCTTATAGATTAGTTGGCAAAATTATCCGCAGCAGGTTATCTGGAGCCTGTGCAGGTTGTCGAGGGTCAGCTAAACGGATGCCGGTTGGACAGTAGACCCCAGGATTTGGCCATCGATTAAGTGGAAAGCAAGAGTATAACAGCAATAGTGCCATATCTGCATAAAATGACTTTTCATCTAACGAAAGTAGCTAGTCGTGTGGAGACTGACATGGCATTTTTAACGCCCAAAAAACTGAGCAGGATGTCATTTCACAGACCCGCACCGTAAACCAGCTGCCGGATGCTCCAAGAACAATCGTAACCATACTGTGTATTGTGTAAAAGAGATGGTTTATGAGATAAATACATAGGTCAGACAGCAACGTGTCTGAACGATCGATGATGAGAACATAAACTAAACGTAACAAACAAGAATAGCTGCAGTCATTTGTCCACATGTTGTTTGCAGTCCTGGTGAAGCACAAAAATAAAAACGTGCGAGAGGTTAGTGAAGACCATGTTATCTTTTGCAATAGTGACCCGTGCATTAATGATGCATCAATGGGCCTGTTAGAAAAGGAGACAGTCTTTTTAGTTTGAAAGTGACTGGGCTGATGTGGAACCACATTGCGTAAATAAATCGGTTGAAGTTTTCTCAGCATAAAATTGGGGAAGCTAGTGCATTGTAGCGTCGTCCCTGTTACGTCCTTGTCTACTAGCACTGCATATGTTGTCGAATTCATAAATAATTGTAATCGTGTAGTGGTTTTGGGGCGTTAAACCCCACATGTCAATCAAATAATGGTTTTGAATCGGTCCTCATATGTTTGTGCGCTTAAAAGTTATTGATCTAGGGCCGAGACTATTTTAAACTCTTAGCACTCTACACACTACGGTACCAGCGCTCATGCATAAGGCTTCACAAACGCGTCTTATATCTCTCACATCTTCGACCCTTCACAGTGACCTTCGTTGGCAGGTAGGGCAGTCTATGTCGCAGTCATGCATCAGTAATGTGAAGTACTGTATCATGAAAATGACCTCCAAGATCAACTCAGGCAACACAACGGTGCGTTGCCAGAGCTAATATCAGAAGCCACGTAATGACGCAAACAAGCACGTACAATAAGCGCTTCGATAGTTTAAGTATTCGGTGCAGTGGGAAGCGTAATTGGGGAGCGCACACATTGGCGTTTCTCTCCTAAAATGACGACGCTTGAATGAGCGCATGCCGAGTACTAGTGTTATGGGCTTGCCGATGCCATCTTGGTGAGGGATTCAGTTTATGCGGTGCTCAGGTGTATGTTAACTAGTTCAGGTACCACAAGGCCTAAATCATTATCTTCGGCGTTAGTCGTCCGGATGGAGATCTGCCACTAGGTGTCAACGTGGGTGTATGTACGTGAAACGGTGATATATTTGCAAAACACTAACACCAATTGTGTAAGCTCTCGTACATCAACGTACAATAAACAATGAGCTCGTGTTATGTGAACACATGTGACGTTTTATGTTCTTTGTTATACCAATTCTAACGCGAAAGAATCAACAACGTTCCTTTTGGTCTTTCTAACACCCTCTTGCCCATTTGTTTTGAACTTCTTGCTAAAAAAGTATAAATGCGCCATTATAAACGCAGAGTTACTGAGTCGTGGTTGTTGCGTACAAATAACCCGAGTCCTTTCTACTCACTTCAATGGTGTATCCTTCCGAAATAAGCGCGTGCAAAAAACAAAAGCTTATCAGGCTCGACTATCTTATACAGTGTATTCAGTTGAAGCCGTACATATAGAATTCGCTAAAATACAGGAATTAGTCTGATATATTGTGTGATTCGAAGTACAGCTTGTATATTTACAATGCAAATTTGCAAATTTGCTCACCATATTTACAAAGCAAATTTTGGTGAGCAAGTTTGCTTCACGGCACTATTTTGTAATATTGCAAAGAAGACTGCTATTAAACAATGCTAAAGGGATTTTTTTTTTTTGCAGTTGAAATTTTTCTCGGACTTTGTAGCCCTTTTTCGCTCACTCATCGTAAGAAGTTCCAGCTCGACATAAGAGGGCCTCTCCTGCACGCCTAGCATGCCGAGTTTCTGTATCGGGGCAATGAGTGGGCGATGGATATGTGAAATCACGTGTGACCTCTCGGATTCCTTAGATATAAGTAAACTGAATATAGTGATGGTTCGGCCAAAATTTTGCATAAAATACGTTCAAGTTATTGACTACAACTTTAATTATTAAGCTTTGCTGTATTATTTAGTTTCATGCAGCTTTATTATCATCGCCAAAGCATCACTGCTTTGGCGCAGACTTCGTCTTTGAAGGCGACAGGTACCTTACTGTGATAGCATTTTTATACAAAATTCTGGGTTATGAAAAAGCATGCTGCTCAATGTGCCTTAACTATCTCCAGCTAGAGTTAAAAGATATGCTGATACATTCTATGATGATGCGGCTAATTGCATGTTGACTATCGCATGGAATAGGCCGGACAATTTTTTTGTTTTCTGTCTAATTTCATGTGTAATTATTTCAATGAATTTTTGAAAGAACGAAACTGCGCAAAATGTTTCACCAACAAAGCTGTAAATTGGCTTAAAAAATACCTAATTAAGCAGTTTTTAACTATACGTGTGTGATGTATCAATGTTTGCTTCCTAGAGGAGTCCGCGAAATACAAAAAAAAAGGAATAACACACGGCAAGCCCACTTGTGCGAGTGTGCGTGCCTAAAGCCCCTTTTGCGGACCATGATTGCAGTGCTTTCTAAGGTCCCGTGTGCGAACGACTATAGCACGACTATAGACAGGGCACTGTTATGACACACGTTCTGCCAGTGGCAGAACAAGCGATAACAACTGTGCCTGCTTATCGCTGTCATGAGCCGTCACTAGGGAAGTATAATGTTCCCGGAACATTTAGGAGCACTGGAATTATGACGTTTTGGGCGCGCAAGCGAGCACCTCACGTTTTTGTTTATTTGTTTTTTTATTTCAAGGTTTTGTGATATTGAGCATAACAACAACAATACCTAAACAGCTTCCAAACCACCCCGACTTCAGAAGCGATACAGCAGTTTCTTTCTTGCCTTCACTCCTTTTTTTATAAAGGCGCTATCGCCTCCTCACCACTTATTCTTTGATTGATTGATATGCGTGGTTTAACGTCCCAAAACCACCCTATGATTATGAGAGACGCCGTAGTGGAGGGCTCCGTAAATTTCGACCACCTGGGGTTCTTTAACGTGCACCCAAATCTGAGCACACGGGCCTACAACAATTCCGCCTCCATCGGATTTGCAACCGCTGAAGCCAGGATGCGAACCCGCGATATGCGGGTCAGCAGCCGTGTACCTTAGCCACTAGACCACCACGGCGGGGCACCACTTATTCCTTCAAAAACAGAGTAACTGGAATGTCAGTCGTAAGTGTTGAGCCATTCGGGATATCGAGATTTTCTACTACACGCTGCTATCTTCCCTTGCTCACTTGAAAACGCCGAAAACGAAGTGAAATATCGCACATAATAGTCATGTTAGACAAGGCAGAACGGGCGTGCGACTGCATGGCAAAGCAGGGTAAGCGACGATTCACAAAAGATATCTCTAGTATGTGGACTAATTAAAACTTATTTAGTCTTGACGTCACGTGAATTAACAGCTGGCGTCACGAATTGTGCCGCTAAGACGGGAAACGATCGTAGAAGATAACGTGCTCGTTCTTCGTGTTTTCAGAGGTGGTTTAAGAGCCCTTCAATAAATACTCAGAAACTTTGTAATCAGATTTTTTATAAGATTATCTACAACTTGCTCGCTAGAATTTATTGCCTAGCTTCGTTTATTCAATAGCTGGTTGGATGGTTGGGCATGATGAATGAGGTGATTAAAAGAACAAAAAAAATACCGTGACTTATTCCAGCCAATAGTCACCAACATGCATTAGCGTCCCGTCGTCATAGAGTTCGTCAACAGACGTTTAAACTCTGGCTAAAGATAGCTGGGGCACCTTGCAGACTTGAAGGAGTAGAGGACTCGTGTTTACATAACAACAATCTTACATTAGTGAGTGTTGTACATCGTGCCCCCGTCACCTCCCAGCGCGAAACGAGTGAAATTGTGCGCCGACACCGCGATTCGATTGGCACGTGGCCAGAGATCGGCAACGTGACCATGTTTGCGTACCGCGGGAGTCTTGTGTGCGGTCACCGTGGCGGGAGGCGGTGGAGGCCGCGGGGGCGGCTCTTTCTGCCACGGCTGTGGGCCCAGGGGCAGGCTGCAGAGGAATAGGTGCAGCGACAGGGCGCCCAGCAGCAGCAGCGACGCGGAGAAGCCGTACTCGGCGACGAAGTAGGCCGCCACGGGTGGGAACACGACGCCCGTCAGGCTCAGCGTGACCGACATGAGCGCGAACGCCGTGGCCCGGTACTTGACGAAGTACTGCGACAGCAGGGCGCCCACCACCACACCGACTGAGGCCACTCCCAGACCTGTGTGCGCAGTGGGGAGCAGTGAGTCCAAAACTGCCGCCCATATTCACGAAGCGTGAGATATCTTACCGTTTGCCAATGGAGTGGAGGCTTCGGCTTGCTGAAAAGCCGTGTTGGGGGACTTACAGTGAGAGGACATAAAGACAAAAAAGAAGACTCCACGCTGTGCCACGGGCCTGCTGGCCATACGAATATCACAAGCGGCAGGCATTGGGCCTTTCTACCAATGGTTTAGTGCAAGCACATTTAGTTTTTAAAAACGAAGCATTTATTAGCGAGCTTCAGATACTTTGAACATTATCTATCTATCTATCTATCTATCTATCTATCTATCTATCTATCTATCTATCTATCTATCTATCTATCTATCTATCTATCTATCTATCTATCTGTCTGTCTGTCTGTCTGTCTGTCTGTCTGTCTGTCTGTCTGTCTGTCTGTCTGTCTGTCTGTCTGTCTGTCTGTCTGTCTGGCGTGCGTGCGTGCGTGCGTGCGTGTGTGTGTGCGTGTGCGTGTGCGTGTGCGTGTGCGTGTGTGTGTGTGTGTGTGTGTGTGTGTGTGTGTGTGTGTGTGTGTGTGTGTGTGTGTGTGTGTCATATATACTATACGCGAGATTCTTACCATGAAGTACGCCTAGAACAACCGTCAGTACTGTGACGTCGACGATGAAGTAGCTCGCGAAGAGCGACGACGAAATGATGGCGGCGGCCCCGAGCAGCAGCTTCTGTTCGTTGAACCAGTGGGCCAGCCCACCGTAAAGAACACCTGCGAGATTTTAGGTACAGAACGAGATAAAAGGTGGTACTTTCAGCTATCACCGTTAATGCACTCACGTTTAATCTCTCCAGCAAAAATATATCCCCCTTACACCAAACATGTAATAAACTTTACGGGGCTCTGACACTCATCGAACACAAGTGCCTTTCTAATAATCATTACTGAGCTTCAACGTATCAAAACCTCGATATGATTGAGAGACGCCATAGTGGAGAGCTCCGGAAATTTCAACAACCTGGGTTTGTTTAACATGAACCTGTATTTAAGTACGCGGGTCTGAAGAATTTTCACCTCCATCGAAAATGTGGCCACCGATGCCAGGTTTCAAACCCGTGACCTTCGGGCCGGTGGTCGAGCACCGTCATAACTAGACTACTATGGTGGGTTCAAGTAGCTTTCTAGACCTCTTGAATTCAATTTAAGTCCGTTTCATAATTCGCTTATTTTACATTTCCCACGTAGCTTTTGAAATGTGACTTGATATCTCAACTTCGCTTGTAGATTAGGAAAACTGCCGGTAGTTTGACATTTTGGTTGATCGCTTTGGCGGCGCCCAGTTATACTTTCAGGCTGAAACAATTATCACTTTCGTTCTGATTTGTGGGAAATTTTTTTATTTCTTCCTTCTTTTTTTTTGTTGTACGTACATCACTCGGGTGTCACCTGTCTGACGTGGGATCAAGCGCTTCTGTATGTCGGCAGAAATAACTTCAATTTCAGCAGCCTAGATATACAGGTCACAAGGCCATTGCAGCTGCGATGTACGCTTTTGGCATCTGTAGCGCAAACGGCCTTACCACAGCTGTTGAACCATCTGTTGTAAAAGAGCCCCTCCAACAGAGGCTATTTGCTAGCTTCGGTGTAACGTGCGGGCTCTTTACTGCTTCCTCGATTATTTATTGGCTTGAAGAGGATGCCCGGTGCTGAAGCCGCGTCGCCAGCCCTGTGTGAGGCCCGAGCTCGAGCTGCCTAATCTGTTTTTGTTGCACAACACCGCATGGTATTGCCAAACGTTACGGATTCACGGCTGGCGTTGCAACGTGTTGCATCAGAAGTGCTCGCGGGCAAACAGAGGGAGAGGGCTCTCGTCGAGGTGGAGTCTTTCTGATGCTTGTATATTCACAGAGCGTGCACCGGTTTCTCGATCCGTTGGCAGCCTTCGGCGCCTTAATTGAGAAAACCGGCTGCGCTGTACCAATGGCCGTTTTATATAGTGCTCGCCAATAATTTTTTTAACAACGGCAGTACTTTCTGGGAAACATCATACAGTTGCGCGAATAGGCTCTTCATTGCAGTGCATTGTGATACAGGCCATGAAGCAAGCTCGAGGCGGTCAGAAGGGGCAATGGTCCTGCAGGAAAACTCACAAAAGTGGCCCACGGATGTTTCTTCATTAATGAAATCCTTCAACGCTCATTCATTTTCGTTATATGCTTGCTTTCGTGCTTCAGATCCGTTTCGTAAGACAGGTGCCTCATGTCAGATTGATTAATACCATTCGCATAGGGTACGACAAGCACTGCAAACAGCATACGTCATGGTGGATCAGCCGTTACGGTGAAAACTCACTGCTCACCCAATGGTTGCGGGTTTGACCCCGACGGCAGCAGTCGCATGTCAGTGGAGGCGAAATGGTGAAGGTCCGTGTACTCTGCGGTAGCATTGCAAGTTAAACCAAATGGTCGAAATTACCGGGTTCGTCAATTCCGGCGTCCCTCATAACCATATCATGGCTTTGGGGTGTAAGACCCCATATATTATCATGAGTATTCACTGTGGGAGAAAGTAAAGAGGAAAGTAACACGTACACAAGGATGGAACGCAAAGTAAACGTACTCTTGTTATAAAAGAGACAGGGTGTCCAAACGTGCCCACATGATGAAGAAGTCTAGACACTACAAAATCTGTTTCTTTTGTGGAGTTGGCTTTTGACGTGTTTAGTTTTATCTTTGTCCTTTTAACATGAATGTCTTCCAATTAGCTCAGCTCTTTGTAAGCTTCATTTCTTTTACACTGATCACTTTTCTGTGTTCTTTTAGTTATATGAATAGTACTGCTTCCTTGGCTTCCTTCATTGCTATTTGTTCTTTTTTTTTTCGTTCAGGGCTATGTCGTGCTTTTTCAAGTATCGAGTTTTGATTAAACCGCATTCAAGACGTCTTGACACCTGTCTCCTGTCTGTTTGCGCACCTTAATTGTCTCTTAAACATGCCCCGCCGTGGTGCTCTAGTGGCTAAGGTACTCGGCTGCTGACCCGCATGTCGCGGGTTTGAATCCCGGCTGCGGCGGCTGCATTTCCGATGGAAGCGGAAATGTTGTAGGCCCGTGTGCTCAGATTTGAGTGCACGTTAAAGAACCCCCAATGGTCGAAATTTCCGGAGCCCTCCACTACGACGTCTTTTATAATCTTATGGTGGTTTTGGGACGTTCAACCCCACATATCAATCATCTCTTTAACATGATTACCTACCAAATAGCTCAGCTCCCTGTCATTCTAAGCACACGTACTCTGTCACATGAAAGGCTGCTTAGCACAAGCCTTGCATCTAAGAGAGTGTGTTGGCATTCTCTGGTTCTCTCGCATCTGCGTTTCATTCCGCGCTGTAGAGGAAAATATCTTAGATATGAAACTTATCATTGCCTGACACTTCTTCTTCATGCAAGGTAATCTGAGGATGGCTCAGGAGTCCCAGTGGGTCTCATTTTCAGGACAATGGGTTTCGACGCTTCACCTTCGGGTGCAAGTGCCACTTTTTTTTTTTTTTTGAAAACGATGAGCCTTGTGTTGAACACGTGACAGGTGGAACGTACTTCTTTCTGGAAATGATACCGTTATCTTCCTCATTTTCATGTTCCTCGTTATGTATTTTCCTCACGCATGACGTAGTCAGTAGCACGCACTCCGCGTTAATCATCACGCAATCAATGACCTTCTGGGCTTCATATCCTGCCTTCTTCTGTCTCTCTATCACTCACTAAGGCTTTATCTCATAACGTCAAATGACAGGTTTACAAAACAGCCACTTCGCGCAGAAGTGACCAATATTGCGGAATCCTCGTCCGGAGCGCGTGCCCCGAGATATCTGACGCCGATTTTTGGCACTCTGCGCTGCCGATTGCGCAAACACGGAGAAGCTCCCACAAGCATGAGTTTATTGCGTCGCCGTCACACGTGTACGGCGTGGTTGTCATACAAATATGCGCGTGCAATGTTGCGTCACCATCTGAAGCTGCCAGATAGCGTCTTTATTGGGAATAAAGACTGAGATAAGATTCAGAGAGAAAGAAAAGGAAAACTTTCGGCATGTCGAGGACATAAAATGAAGGAGGCCACTGGGTAAGCTTCACTTTTCGAATCGAGCGAATGGTGACATATAAAATTGAAATTTTACACTAAATGTCTATTCATAATGCAGGGCCGTAGGCAGAAATATTTTGGTAGTGATGGGGGCACCCTTATGATTTGAAGTAAGGGCTGGGCAGGCAGGTGTGGTCCAGTAATATTTTGTGGTCTGCATGCCACAGCGAAAAAAAAAGACCCTTCCGGGGTTGGGGGGGGGGGGGGGTCGCAGCCTCTTGTGCCACCCTCTAGATTCACCACTGCCGATATATGCTTGTCGAGCAGAAAAAATGTCCAGATTTCTTCGTGTCAAACAATTTACACCAACTTGTGACATAGCTATTAGCTTATCCGCAGGACTCCCCAACTTAGCAGTTAAATATTCAGTTCATAACTGCACGTATAGTTGATAGCCGATTATTACGGTATATTGCGACTCACGTCCCCATTGCCAGGTTGCAACACTAGAGTTAACTACCAGACTATAGCTGTCAAAGCATCTTGTAATTCGTAAAACACATTTTCGAAACCAGTGTGTTCCCGTTGAGCGCACGCTGTCAATATTGCAAGAGTGCCGATGACCACTCATCAGTGCTTAAAGAGACAGTAAAGAGTGAGAAAAAAACTATTTTTACTGTATTGATAAGTTGCTCTTTCACGGTACCGAAACCGCGAAGCTTTATTGATTGATTGATATGTGAGGTTTAACGTCCCAAAACCACCTCATGATTATGAAAAAAAAAACGCGAAGCTTGCGGTGAGAAGACGCGAAAAAAAAAAAACGTCAGTGGCGATGCCACCTTGATGTTTTTGCATCATTTGCTGTGACGTCACTAATTTTGACGGCTGCTGCTGAAGTCTAGCAGTTCCCAATCAATAAGAATGAAGTGAAGTGTCCTCTAAGGGGGCCTTAGACATAACATTACAAGTTTTAGAATATATTGTTGGGCAGATGACGCTCAAATACGATAAATACGTTTTGTAACATATGACGTCAAGCACAAAGATTTCGACGCGAAAGTTAAAAATGAAACTTTGAACCTATGTATAAGAAATTCTCGACATTAGCGTCCTCAAAGTATAATTTGTCAATATAAACGGACTCATTGTTTCCCTTTGTGTCCATTTAAACAACACAGCGTTGATTCACACATAATAGCCCTGCCGTGGTGGTCTAGTGGCTATAAGGTACTCGGCGGCTGACCCGCAGCTTGCAAGATCGTAGCCCGGCTGCGGTGGCTGCATTTTCGATGGAGGCGAAAATACTGTAGGCCCACGTGCTCAGATTTGGGGGGGGGGGGGGGGGGGGGGGCTGCACGTGAAACTCAGGTGGTGTAAATTTCCGGAGCCCTCCCCCACGGCGTCTCTCATAATCATATGGTGGTTTTCGAACGTTAAACCCCACATATCATTCATGAGTAATTATTGTCTTGAAGACGTGCTCACAAAACAAAGTGTGCGTGCACGTGCGAACTGACCAATGGTGGCACTCGTATTTCGCGATACAATAAAAGCGGTGGAAGGTCACTCATGATGTACACGCAGAAAGTTGAAAGCGACAGCGCATAGTGCAATGAAGGTTAATGAACAATCGAGGTGTCCCAAAAAAATCAGTGATTGGTTCATTTTCATGTCATAGCTTAGGCAA